GCTGGTGGTGGGTTTTCTGGTGCCCCTTTTCATCATGGTGGCTTGTTACAGCCTCATTGTCTTCCGAATGCGAAAATCCAACTTCACCAAGTCTCGGAGCAAAACCTTGCGGGTGGCCCTCGTGGTGGTGACTGTCTTTTTTGTCTGCTGGACTCCGTACCATATTGTTGGAGTCCTATTGCTGATTGCGGACCCAGAAACTCATTTGATGGAAGCCGCGTTATCCTGGGACCACATTTCCATCGCTTTAGCATATGCCAATAGTTGCTTCAACCCTTTCCTTTATGCCCTTTTGGGGAAGGACTTTAGGAAGAAAGCAAAACAGTCCATAAAGGGCGTTCTGGAGGCGGCCTTTAGTGAAGAGCTCACGCACTCTACCAGCTGCACCCAGGACAAGGCCTCTTCAAGAAGAAACAATTTGAGTACAGATGTGTGATGTGGAGTGGGGACCTAAGCAGATGCTCCCAGGTGAATACTGATGAAGGAAGACATGGTGAGCAGGACACTGACAGTCTGGTGGCTCTCAGAGAGAGGGCTCTGATTATTGACATCAGTATCATTTGGAAACATTAAAGATGCGAATTTTCAAGCCCCATTCCAGACTTGTTGACTCAGAATCCCTGGTCCATGGGGACCAGTGTTTTAACAGGCCCTCTTGCTTCTGATTAACGTTAAGTTGTACCATCATTTGGTTTGGTCTACTCCTATCCCTAAGTTGTGTGAGACGGATAACTTAATCATCCATTTTCAGTATTAATCTCTTTTTTTAGCTTCATCTAAATCATCTTTTAGTTTGCACGAAAAGCTGCTTTTATTGTCCTGAGTGAAAGATATTCCTTTATTGTATAGCTTTATAGTGGTGGTGGTGGTGGTGGTTTTCGTGGGGGGAAAATAAGACACAAAAAAGAAAAAGCCTACAAAAGCAAAGAGTGATGAGCTAGAGACTGGGACAGAGTAGAAAAGCACCACGTCTGCAACTCGAAACATCCTCGGATAATTCCAGGTGCCCATGACTACCCTAAAGGAACACAGGTATGCGTGAACACTTTCCTATCGTGCAGTGTTCTGGAAGCTGTGGTTTGGAGCGCTCTCTTCCCTGAGCATCCCTCTTGTTCATAGAACCAACTATCTCTCTTTTTGTTTTGTTTTTTCTTTTTTGTTTTGTTTTTCAAGACAGGGTTTCTCTGTGTGGCCCTGGCTGTCCTGGAACTATGTAGACCAGGCTGGCCTCGAACTCAAAGACCCGCCTGCTTCTGCTTCCCCGAGTGCAGAGATTAAAGGCGATGTCCCATTGCTTAAGTTCCTGAAGTCCCTTTTTGTTTTCCACACAGGGTCTTACCATCTCCTGCTGGGGATGGGGTATGCAGCACCCTGCCTGGCCCACTTCTTAGTCTTCCACATTAGACTTCGTGCCTCACGTAGAATAAAACAGATGCTTTTCTCCTCCTTCCAAACCCAAGTCTAACGAAAGTTCGGACTGCCATTCTTCATCTCGCTCCCAGGTCCCTGCACTCTGACGGCAACACCGCAGAAAGGTTTGAAACATGAGTCTAGGTACCTCACGTGCCAAAAGGGCCAGGCACACACTCTGTGAAATTCTTTTCAACTCAGTATTTACCTGGACCATGGTATTAGAAATATATGCTCCCAATTTTAAAGGAACTGATGAAAGATGGAATACAAGAGGCCTCTTTCTCCAATGCCCAGTAATTCCTGCCTCTCCCTCTTATCTCAAGAGAGCATCCTGACATTTACAGTGATGTGCCTAAGTCACAATGCGCTTACACCGCCGATTTTTGTAGATAGGATAAAATGGTTTCCATATTTTCATCCAACATCCCAGTGTTGATTAGTATTATACTTTATTTTGTTCATGACCATCCGTTTTTCTTTTACTTTTTATTGTTAGGTCTTATTGCCTTTGAGCCAAGGTCTTTCTGTGTAGCCCAGGCTAGCCCCAGACTCACAGGTCTCTTGTTACACACACTCCCCCAGCTGACTACACAATTTTCTTTTCAACACGTTTCAATAGCACCACTTTTCTTGTCCTTTCCGTTTTTATATTAACGCACATTAACCCTCCACAGACGATTCACGTGACTGACCGATACCTGATACCTGCACACAGCACTCACGCCCCCAGCCCAGACTCTGCCTCATCGTTATTCCCCTTTCTAGTTGACTTGGTTTTCTTAGACAAGGTCTCAAGAATCCCAGATGGCCTCAAAATTGCTATGCAAAGAGAATTTTGAGCTTCCAATCTTCTTGCCTCCACCTCCACATGCAGGGATTAAAGGCATGGACCACTATATCATCTTATATGTGGTGCTGGGAATCAAAACCAGGGCTTCGTGCATGCTAACTAAGCATCCTACCAACTAAGGTGTTCCCCCAGCCTGCTCGGGTTGACAGTTTCGGCTCTCCTATAGGAGACTATGTGGTACTTCTGTGTTCACTTCATCGTCTTCTTATAATGTCATTTGTGTTAAAAATAACAGGGTTTCTCTTATCTTTATGGCAGAATAACACACATTGTGTGTACGTAGCACATTGCACCATCCACTCACCTGGTAACAGACACCAGGTTCTACATCTTACCCATTATACATAATACTACACTAAACCTTTAAATTAACTTAATAAAAATTAGCAACTCCCACCATCTTCTATTCTTTTTTTTTTTTTAATGTACATTGGTGTTTCGCCTGCATGAGGGTGTCGGGTACCCTGGAACTAGAGCTACAGACAGTAGTGAGCTGCTGTGTAGGGACTGGGAGTTGAGCCTGGGTCCTCTGGAAAAGCAGCCAGTGCTCTTGACTGCTGAGCCATCTCTCCAGTGCCTGGTATTTCTATTCTTATGTCTATACTCACGTGTTAAATCACTGAACCTCAAGCTTGTTTGCACAAATAGGCTGACCTATGATAGATGCGTTCACCTAGAGGCAGGAAACTGAACATGTTAGTCCTGTAAAAACATTTGTTCAGTTGTCGAGGGAAGAGTCTTAGGTTACAACTGTTTTATAAACTACTGCACAGAAACATTTCAAATTACTAAGAATCTTTTATTGTCACGAGGTAATTTAGGGGAGAAGATTGCACTTTTACCTTTCTAATGTAAGCTTATATATTCCATATGAATAAACACTTTTATCCGCAAGGCTCTGGGACTCACAGATCCTGTTCATTCTCTTTTTAGATTTTATCCTATGTGTATGAGTGTTTTGCCTGCATGTATGCCTGTGCACCACCTGCAGGCCTGGTGCCCACGGAGGTTACAACAGGTGTCTTATCCCTTAGAGCTGGAGTTACAGGCAGTTGGGAAGCCTCATGTGGTCCTCTGCAAGAGCAGAGTGCTCCTAACAACTGGTGTGACACTTGACCTGGACTACAACCGCTAACTACGCAGCAAATGGAGCTCATGTGACTGCTGACCACTGTGACAGCAAGGCCGGGCTTCCAGTCCCCTAAGGTCCTGGGTTACTGCAAAGGGCAGAGGGTGAATAATTTTGGCATATTGTGAAGACTGGAAGTATAGTAAGTAATTCTGGCAATAACTGACTTCTCCTGAGAGATCTGCTTACTTTGGGGTTGTACTCTGAAGAAAGTTCTACAATTAGATATTCTCATTTCTGATTTTACAACTCTGAAGAGAATCTTTACCTATTTGATACTCTCGTCCCTAGAAAGTCTGAAACAAGGACCCAACCTCTCCCTTACAGTCTAGTATCCTGAACCTTTTTAAAAATTATAATACACATAAAAATAGACAACATATTTTGATCATATTCTCTCTTCCCCCAACCTACCTACCCAACTTCATGTTTTCTCTCAAAAAAAAAAAAAAAAAAGGAAAAACAACAAAAGACAAAAATCAAAAAACGGGCTGGAGAGATGGCTCAGTGGTTAAGAGCATTGCCTGCTCTTCCAAAGGTCCTGAGTTCAATTCCCAGCAACCACATGGTGGCTCACAACCATCAGTAATGAGGTCTGGCGCCATCTTCTGGCCTGCAGGCATACAAGCAGACAGAATACAGTATACTAAATAGATTTTTTAAAAAAAATCAAAAAACATTCAGACTGTAAAAGGAAAATTAATGAGACAAAAAAAAAAAAAAAACACCAGGAGGTGGTGGCACACACCTTTAATGCCACTTGGGAGGCAGAGACAGGTGGATCTCTGGGAGACTAAGGCCAGTCTGACCTACAGAGTGAGTTCCAGAATGGCCAGGGCTACACAAAGAAACCTTGTCATGGAGAAACAAAAACAACAACAACAAAAGCACAAAGAAACATGATGTCTGTTCTGTGTTGGCTGCTCCCGGACATGGGGACGGCCCTGGAGTGGAGTTTATAGACCAAGTGGCACTCCACTAGAGAAAAGTGGTTTGTCCTTTCTCAGCAGGTATCAGCTGCAAAGAGTTGGTTAGGGGGACTTTGCGTCCACTCTCTAAGCTAACATGCCTCTGTTGGGACCAATTGAGTCCTGGCCTTCAGCTGCTCTTCCCTGCTAGAGCCTTCTAATTGAAGTGACTAAGAGCTGTGCTTTGCCTAGAGGATCAGAGGATGGGATTTTTCACCTGTTGGCCATTGACTACAGGGTATTTAAGCCTCCATGGTGCTATTAAAAGAGGGTTTTGTACCAGTGATTGGAGGGCCGTGTGTCTGTCTCTGTGTGTTTCCTCAACCTCCAGCCCCTTGCCCGAAGCTCGAACTGGGTTCTAGCGCATAGAGTGCAAAGGGGGGGGGGGGCACGATGCGCGACAGGCCTCCTCTACCCAGCAACCTCCAACAAGATTTCACTACACTTAGTAGCATTTTAAAGACCAACTATGAAATCATGTCTCATTCTTTCTTGCCCACCACTCCTGCAGACAGTCACGGTCAGATAATCAACCCGGTGGCAAGGATGGACGAGGGTAGCACGGTACCAGCAGGAGCCAAGTCCTCTCACAGCCCTCCTCTCTTACCCTGGCTAAAAGAAGTTAGAGAGAACTACCAATAAGATAAAAACTGAAAACATTCCTTTTTGTTTTTTTATTAAGAAAGCATGCAAAAAAAAAAAAAATCAAGTTGTGAGCCTATACACCATCTTCCCAGCCTGCACCAATGCAAAGCATTATGGGTGGTATAAAGAACTCACCAAACCAGAAACATGGGAGTTGAGGAGAGGAAACCTAGGATAGGCAGGCCAATACCCAATGATCTCTCCTTCCGTCCTCCTCCTCTGCTTTTTCCCTTATTTCCTCTTATAGGCAGTGACTCCTACGATTTTGCACACATCACCCAAGACAACAACAATGACAAAACTTCATGTCCAGCAACACTGGACCAACAAAATAAAGTAGTTTTCTTTCCACTTCACGGAGGGGAGGGAAACTGAGGCTCAAAGGGAATCAAGTTTGTCCTGTGCCATTTTGGAAGCATGAGCCTGGTGGAGGAGAGCTGGAAGCCCAGGAGGCCTCAGGCCATCTCCAGGCCCAGCCCATACTTCAGCTGCTCTGACTGCCCACTGGGGCTCTTCACAAGACTGGTTCTCAGGACACGGAGGAGCCAGGGGCCTTTAGGAGTGTGGTTCAGCCTGCCCTTCCCAACCTCATAGAGATCTGACCAGGAAAGCTTTAGAAAAGGAGTGTTGCTCTGCAAAGGCAAGAGGTTGGGGAAAAACCAAAGGGAAGCTACGGAGAATAAACCTGGATGGAAGGAACAAGGAGATGCCCAATTGGGTACCGAGCAAAGGCATGGGCCGCCCACTAGAGAACTAGAGAAACATTCCCTTCCCCAGTGGGAAACACTGCATCATAGTTCAACCCTACCAGACGCTCCCCAATATAATCTCCCATCATGCTGGAGGTCGCTGGCTTTTTCTTATCCCCCTTCTTTCCTTACGAAGGCTTCAAGAGATAAAGTGCTCTTCAGTGAACTGCCCTAGCTTGCCCCTTCACCTCACCTCACCGGACTGCGACAATCTCATACATGAACCCCTTCTAAAGAAAGGAAAGGGGCTGGCGAAGGGGAAATCAGAATGGAAAGCACACTGTCTGGAAATCATGGATAAACAAAAGAAAATGAGCAAAAATCAGAAACCACAAAGAGATCGACCTTGTCTAGTTTATGCGTTTTGTCCATTTCAGAAAAATGTAAGTAAACTTGGTCTTCCCTCTCTTAAGCCAAATCCGATAAACACATTCACTGAGAACTCAGAGCAGTAAGCCCTGGCCACTTACTGTTAATGGAGATTACTCATCCTACGCCTAGGAGTGACCTGCCCTTCCTGGATCCTGTCTCTATATTAATTTCTCTCTTATAATTTCCACTGCCCGTCAAAAGCAAAAGCTTCAACCCCATTGATAGGGATTTCGGGAGAAGCACTCCCTGTGCTGTTAAACAGACAACACATTCCTGACCTGCGTCTATGCCAACTTCCTTTCTCCCCTCCCTCCTATCAGCAATATTACGGATACGGGTCTGCCAAGACAGGCGTGAGAGGTTTCCGGAGCACGTCCAGGGCATGAGGAAACCCAGAATGAGGATGGCTTCCTTTTGTTATTTGAGGCTCCCAGAAAATGGGAGACAAAAATAAGACAGGTGGATTATTTGGACAAATAGCTATAGGAAGACAAAACAGTATTTGCTGAAGGGGAAAAGATGGAAGATAATTTACATATGCAGTAATAGCCACAGTTAATTCTCAGAAAGAATTATTTTCCAAAGTCAAATGCTTTAAGTTGAAAGTGTTCCCAAGATGCTGAACCTATAATGAACAGTGGTCCTCATGCCCTCCCATATAAGCTAACCTGAGAGCGTGATCTAGGAGGAAGTCAGGGATACCTAGACAAGGCAGGAGAAAGCCAGGGATGTCCTGACATGGCAGAAAGAAACCAGGGATGCCCTGACATGGCAGGAGAAAGCCAGGGATGCCCTGACATGGCAGAAAGAAACCAGGGATGACCTGACATGGCAGGAGAAAGCCAGGGATGCCCTGACATGGCAGAAAGAAACCAGGGATGACCTGACATGGCAGAAAGAAACCAGGGATGACCTGACATGGCAGAAAGAAACCAGGGATGCCCTGACATGGCAGGAGAAAGCCAGGGATGCCCTGACATGGCAGAAAGAAACCAGGGATGACCTGACATGGCAGGAGAAAGGCAGGGATGCCCTGACATGGCGGAAAGAAACCAGGGATGCCCTGACATGGCAGGAGGAAGCCAGGGATGCCCTGACATGGCAGAAAGAAACCAGGGATGTCCTGACATGGCAGGAGGAAGCCAGGGATGCCCTGACATGGCAGAAAGAAACCAGGGATGTCCTGACATGGCAGGAGAAAACCAGAGATCCCTTGACATGGCAGTGCCACCTAACCTCATGCTGATTTACAGCCCATCACTTCTCCACGGCTTTCTACTCAACTCCACTGTCCAAGCCTACCCTCCAAGGGGAATGAGGACTACCAGAAGAAAAGACTGGGTACATAAAGGAAGAGTTCAGAGGACACAATTAGCACCATTGAATAAAACCTGCAAAGTCATGGCTGCCAAACAGTGTCTTAGACCCCCTCCCCTTGCCGAGGCCTCTTCAGGCCAGCCTGAAACAGACAGGAACAGAACACAATCTAGAGATGAAAAGTGGGAGTGGCATTGCATTTCTCAGAGAAAGGTGAACAAGAATTTGAAACCTTTCTCTACGGCTACCATGGCCAAGATTTGCAGCTTGAAAATTTCAAATAGGAAAGAGGAGGGCATAGCCCATGGTGAGGGGCAGTAGACTGGGCAGCATATAACCAATAATAATAATAATATAATTAGAATAATAATAAAAGAACTAGGAGGGAACAGAGAATGCGGAAGGAAATGGGATTATCTTCGGCAGCATCTTGCGGTGGCTTCTCTGACAGAGAGAATGGGAAGAAGCTATATATCTATATACAGGTTTGGGGAGGGTGGGCGGGGACTGTTCTTCCCCCACGGTGAGAATCACCACCAGGCCGTGGGCTGATGTCCACTCTGATTCATTAAGTGATCAGGTCCCAGTCGAAGTCATCGGCGATCTCCTCACTGGCACCAGGAGGTGGGACAGGTGGCCGAGGAACCATGTGGTGTGCTGTCGAGGAGAAAGACAGGCCATAAGGGAAACTGGAGAGCACAAGCCCATCGTCTAGATGGGGCGTGTCCTGCCCAATGACACCGTGAAGAAACAGAGACGCACCACACTCATCAGCCTGCGGTTCTTTCTGTGACAGACTATTAATTCAGCGACAGCTCAGGAGACACACCAAAGCACACGTCATACACTCTATTTTTGAAGACTATCTGACACCTTCTTAAGTTATTAAGAAGGTGATATTATATGAAACAGCAGCATAGAAAGTCCTATTTGTAGTGCATGGACAAAGAAAACAGGCGTCACCCTAAAAACTGAACTAGTGCCCACGTGAGATGGCAACAGGAATGTGCCTACAATACATTTAAACACAAACAATCTGCTCGTATGTGCTGTCTGCACTGGTCCCGTGTCTCCCTGTACTCTGCCCGCCCCAAAGACAGTTCAATCCCACGCTGAGAAAGCAACTCAGTCAGTGGTACAACACTAAGAGACCCTAAGTTTAACCCTAACACTGCCAAAAAACAAATATAAAAAAAAAAAATGGTAGCTAGATCCCTGATCCCTGATACTAATGGTCAGGTGACAGGAATCCAGATGTGGGTAAAATGTTTACATAAAGCATGCATTCCATTTGCCTGTCTCCCATCCTGACTCCCCAACAGGACATGAACACCCTTCAGAGCTATCTCTCACGTTTATAATTTTACTTCCTTTCAGTATTGCGATTACAAGGCAATCTTTTTAATTTTTAAAAATCGTACTATTGTATGTGTGTTTTGCCTGCATGTATGTCTGTGTATCGCATTCATGCAGAGCCAACAGAAGCCAGAAGAGGGATGAGATCCCCAGGAACTGGAGCTTCAGACTACTGTAAGCTGTACCAACCATGTGGATGCTGGGAATCAAACCCAGGTCCTCTGGAAGAAAAAGCTAGTGCTCTTGACCACTGAGCCATCTCTCTTGCCACATAAGGCAATTTTAAAGCAATCCCAAGCTCTGTAGCTCAGAAGTAAAGCCTGTCTAATATGTGCAGGGTCTAGCTCCACTCCCAGAACTATAAATAGATCAAATTTAATTAAATAAACTGTCTTTCTTCTTAGACGGGCAGTGGCGGTGCACCACCTTTAATCCCAGCACTCGGGAGGCAGAGGCAGGCGGATCTCTATGAGTTCGAGACCAGCCTGGTCTACAGAGTGAGTTCTAGGATAGGCTCCAAAGCTACAGAGAAACCCTGTCTCCAAAAAGAAAAAAACAAGAAAAAAAAAAAGACTACCCCTCCCTAGAGGGTGGCTCTTCTCATCCTTCAGCCTTGGGAACCACGCCCCTCACCCATCCTAGCAGGTGTAGCCAGAACAGCAAGAGGGCTCGGGAAGAAAGAAACAACACTGAGAGATGAGCATGCTTGTCTGTCAATGAAACACTCCCCAGCTCTTACCTGGGCGACTGTATCCTGTTGTGTCCTGGGTGGGGATTGGGTACATTGGTGCTGGGCCAGGGTAGAGATGGGAGGCTTGTGGATGCCCATAAGAGTTCACTGCCAAAGCAAAACAAGAGTTATTTGACTAAGGGCTTATTGTAGTCAACAAAGCAAGAAAAAAAAAAAAAGCACATTCCCAGCTGGGCAGTGGTGGCACATGCCTTTAATCCCAGCACTCAGGAGGCAGAGGCAGGCGGATCTCTGTGAGTTCGAGGCCAGCCTGGTCTACAGAGCTAAGCTAGGACTCAAAAACCAAAAACAAACCAACAAAAAAACCACATTCCCTTGTCCCAGCAGCCTCTGTCTCTCTTCCTGCCTTGGTTCATGGATCCTGCAAGCAGGAAGCATTCTGCAGAAGCTACCAATCCTCAGTTCTTAGGGTGAGAAGGGATGGATCCTGGCAGTGTGAAATATCAAAAGATCTGAGAATAACCAGAAACATCATCATCAGATCCCTTTTCACTGGCTTGAACCCCCTGTGTGAGTCAGGTGAAGATTATTCCTGGGACAATTTGGAATAAGAACTTTCTTTGCCAAATTTCCTCCCTTTCTAAGAAGTAATTTTGATCTCCGAAACCACAGTACGAAAAGGAACCAGGTCTGCTGCTTCTGCAGTTCCTTAGTACCTCCTGCCGGATTTCACTGGTCAACAGATGTTCCATCAATAAACCAGTCCCAGGGCTCAGCCTGGTCGCTGCCTATCAAACTGGCTCCTCCTTTCTCTTCCCTTCACCCTTCATTTCCTTCACAGTCCACTTCTTTGGCAACTTTGCATAATACCTTGGTTCATGGATGGCTCCGGTTTACCGCTGGTAAGAGCACAGGAGTCAGTGATGCGGGCAGGGGCAGGTGGTCGGTGGGAGCCCCCTTGTGGGGGCATGTGACCAGTCTGGGTGAGGAAGTGGTTGAGCGAGTCACACAGGTTGGCGATGTGATGCTGGTCGAGGGTCCAGTTCTTCTGCTCTGCCTGCCGTAGACTCTCCATCAGCTCTGCAAACGAGAGAACACTGGCCATGCCAACCCTGAGGAGCTACCACCACGAGAACACCAGCCAGGCCAACCCTGAGGAACTGCCACCATGAGAACACCACCAGGCCAACCCTGAGAAGCTACCACCACGAGAACACCAGCTATGCCAACCCTGAGGAGCTACCACCACGAGAACACCAGCCAGGCCAACCCTGAGGAGCTACCACCATGAGAACACCAGCCAGGCCAACCCTGAGGAGCTGCCAAAGCCCCCCCACCTCACCCCTGGTGCAGTTCCTCCCATCTGTACCACCAATACTGTGTACTAATAGTGACTTCTACCTCTTTCTTTCTTGTGTGGTCAGTATATATTGAAATGCAGTGTGTCAGCAAGTATCATTAAATGTGGCAGGTTTTTTTTAATGAGAATTTTTTTTCTCTAGGACTGCATTAACCTTATTCTGTACTCACAATTTTAGAATAAAAAAAGACTAGAAATAATCCTACTCACTTCAGTCTAGCTAAGGATGCTTCTTGCAAAATTTGAAACTACTTTTTTTTCTCCAAGGGGAATCCCAAAGTGACCATCCAGAGGCCATGATTTACATCTTTTCAACTTTCCATTCTATTTATTACTTGCCAAATTCTTATTTTAATTTGCATCTCATTGATAAATAAAAATATTCAAAGTGGGGCTGGAGAGATTGCTCAATAATTTAGAACACTGTCTGCTCTTCCAGAGGACCCAGGTTCAATTCCCAGCATCCACATGGCAGCTAACAGCTGTCTGTAACTCCAAGACTTGACCCTCTTACACAGACATACATGCAGACAAAACACCAATGTATATAAAATATGTAAATATATTATTTTAAAAATGTTTGGAACTGGAGAGATGGCTCAGAGGTTAAGAGCTATTCTTAACCTGGCTACTCTTTCAGAGAACATGAGTTCAATTCCCAGCAACCACATGGTGGCTCCCATCTATAAAGAGATCTGGTGCCCTCTTCTGGTGTGTAGGAGTACATGCAGACAGAACACTGTATTCATACTAAATAAATCTTTTAAAAAAATTCCAAGTGACTTGATGAATTCCCTATCATTTCTCTGTCAGGAAGCAAAACTACAAAACGGTGGCATCTGACTCCCAGGAGCCTCTCCTCCTCCTCAAGACAAAGATGACAGGCACAAAGCATTGTGGTATTAGAACAAAGGCAAACATCTGAGTCAACCTGAAAAGACTTATATCCGTCTTGTATAACATGCAGAAGTGATGAAATTCTCAGTCCCACACCCAACTGGGCATCACTTGGGTCCTGGTATATCCCTCTTCCCACTCCGGAAGTGGTCCTTAAAGTGCTAACCTGAGAACTGGGACTGCTCAATGCTGGACCAGTTGAGCCGGTTCACCATTTTGAAGCTTTCCTTTAAGGAGTCGATATTGGAGCACCAGTCTGGAGGGAAGGCTACGGGAGAGAAAGGCGGCAGTGAGCTAGGGCGGGAGAGAGCAGTCAAAACGTGCAAGTCTCTCAACGCGACCCACCCGGCTTAACAGCTGCACCACCTAGAGAGCTGAGGCCACTCCCTCACTGGGGATTCAGGAATGGTAGTGACCTGTCCCTTTAGCAAGCCAGTTCACAGGCAAATATGCAAACCAATGCTAATTCATCAATGACTACGAACAGGAAACAGTGAGACCCCCCCCACACCTCAATCCCCCACAGTACAGGGCTTAATGAAGCGACTTCCATTGGCTGAGATGAGGGAAGAGGGTAAGAGACTGAACCTAAAAGACCAGCTGCTAGGTTTTCCACCCATGGCTCCTCCACGCCAGCAGGACAGAGTTCACTCACCCTCCTCCCAGCTTCCTCTGTCCCCTCCGTGCTCACCAAAGCCAGTGCTGTTGATGGGCGCCTGGCTCTGTGCTTGCTGCTGCGGTGGCTGCTGGGCAGGGTGGGAATGGTGCTGATGAGGGTGGTAGCCACCGTGCTGCAGTGGCGGGGGATGCATGGCCATCACAGCGGGGGGGCCATAGCCTTCGGCTCCGGCTTGTTTTCCCCCTGGGGTAGTACAACCATCAGTGCTTGGGGTGTGCAGTGGAGGGGCACCCCCTACAGTTGAGGGGCCCTGTGCGGGTGCTTGTGGCTGCTGTGGCTGAGACTGTTGGGGCGGCTGCTGCTGTTGCTGCTGCTGCTGAGGTGGAGGTTGCTGGTACATGTAGTAGTTGTTAGAAGGCGGCATGTCTCCCAGGAGTGAGGAAAACCCTGCCGGGGAGGAGGAAATAGAGAAGTGATTTGAGCTGGACAGTTTCACTAAATAGCATCTTCTCTCAGGAAGAGAGCTCGGGCAGAAGAGTTGAAAGGACAAGAGCATAATCTGTGACCATGAGGACCCTGTGTCCCTCCTAGAAGGTTAACAGACCAGAAAATCAGTTAGGTTATGGGAAAGCTTTGACGCACTGGTGACCACAGAAATATTAATAAGAATTTTTAAAAAACCTCCATTGGTGACCTTTAATGCTACTTTTGGGGGGGGGGGGGACTTAGGTATAGGGCTGGGATCAGTTTCAAAGGAAGTCACATGGCAGATGAAATTAAATAAATTATAATGGCTTGCTCTGCCCGATCGGCTCTGCAGGCCTCTGTGGCTCTGCTTTCTCGTATTCACGATCAGGTAATGCAGTTTGGGTGGGAAGCAGCATCCGTACTGGTTAACCTCTCCAGCGACTGGGCAAGGAAGAGCTAACCTGGACAGTGGCGAACACAGCAGCACATAACTCTACAGTCTCCACCACTCAACCAGCTCTCAGAATCATTAAGTTCCTGAAACATTAGCAGGTATTTTTCTTAAATTGTGTTTTCTGGGTGGGAAGTGGTGGCACTCCAGCACCCTGGAGGCAGGAGCAGGAGGATCTCTGTGAGTTCAAGACCCTGCTGAGATGAAAAGAGAAGGGAGAGAAGGGAACAGGGAAGGAGAATGGCAGAGGAGGCCTGGAAGGAGAGAGGAGCGGAGAGGACAAGAAACTCACAACACAACAGCAGGTCCTGAAAGGGGCTCAACCCAAGTTTACATTTTCTCTCTGCTGAGATGACAGACCTCAAACGGAAGAGTTAATGTGATGGAGGCCCTTGTGCCCCTCATCATTATGCCTAGTCCACGCTGCCTACAATGGACGACGCAATATACAGGAAGACCTGACACCTCCCTTGAACCCCCAACTCTACCAATACATCTTCTTCTTTAGGAATATATGAACTGGGGCTGGAAAGATGGCTCAGTGGGGTAACGTGCTTGCTGTGCACTTGTGAGATGCAGTGTTCGGATCCCCAACACCTATGTGAATGCTGGGAGGGTGTACAGACACTGTAATCCCAGTACTCAGGGGGCAGAGAGAGGAGGGTCCCAGAGCAAGGTGACTAGCCCTTGGTTCACCTGATGTTGATCTCAGAACTCCACAAGCATACACATTTTACACATTTACACAGACACACAGACACAGACACATTTGAATATTCAAATGCAAAAACATGTGCATGAGCGTGCAATTGTGTATATCTGTGTGTGTGGTTGCTTTTTTGGTCAACTTTACATAAGCTAGGGTCATTTGAAAAGAAGGAATATCAATGAGGAAATGCCTCCATCAGATTGGGTATGCAGGCATTTCTGTGGGTCATTTTCTTAATTAATGATTGAAATGGGAGGGCCCTGACCACAGTGGGTAGCGCCATCCCTGGGCAAGGGGTTAAGAAAGCAGGCTGAAGCTGGGCACGGCAGCACACACCTTTAATTCCAGCACTCAAGAGATGGAGGCAGTCAGACCTCTTTGAATTCCAGGCCAGCCTGATCTACATAGTAAGTTCTAGGACAGTCAGGGCTACATAAAGAAGCCCTGTCTCAAAAAGAAAAAGAAAGAAAGTAGGCTGAGCAAGCCATGGGAAGTCTGTAAGTGGCACTGCCCACGGCCTCTGCTTCAGTTCCTGCCTGACCTCTCGAGGTATCCATCTTTCAGTCCTGGTCTGTAGCACAGGAAGCAAACCAGAATACTGTACAGATACAATCACAGCAGAGTGCCGGGCCACACCATCTCAGGAGGCCACCCAATAAGGACTTTTAAGTAGTTCTCACTCAACAACTGTGGAAATTTGCAAATGGGCAGGATATCAGCTGCTGTTGAGAAATTACTAGGTATTCATCGTGCTGGGAATGGTAAAGTGTGGTGGAGATTAAAGGAGAGGGGCTCAGCGCTGAGCGATGTATGCAGAAACAGAATTCACAGGGAATGATAGGCTGTCTGGGAAATTCACTCAGCTATTCCCACTTTGAAACAAGCTCCGCGGCAAATACAGTAATCTTAACAAAATAAAGTTAAGTGACGGAAGCCAGGGGTTTGTTATTTATCCACTCTGCTCTGGTATCTGAAATATTTTAAAATGAAAATTAACAAATAAAAAACACACTAGCTTTAATCCTGGCACTCAGGAGGCAGAGGCAGGGGGATCTCCCTGAGTTCAAGGCCAGGCTAGTCTACAGAAAGGGGTTCAGGACAAAAATGTTCATAGTGGGGCCATGTCTCAAAGGAAATAACCATAATAATGAAGTGCTAGGGGCTGAAGGTGAGGTTCAGTTGGCTGCCCCAGCCATAGCTCAGTGTTTGCTCTGATTGTATTCAGTCCTGGTTCTCATCCTAGCACTTAAACCAGACATGTAACAGAACACACCTGTAATCCCAGCACTCAGGAGAGAGAAGGATCAGAAATTCAAAGTCATCCTTGGCTAGACTGTCTCAAACTCAAGACCAGCCTGAGACATCTGCCATTATGTCTCAATCTCACTAACTAACTAGAAAGAAAAGCAAGTTATTTATTTTAATAAAGCGTAAGAATTCTTTGGGCAAGAACACTACCACTGCCCCCTAGTGGTCATACTCTGAATGACTGGCTCACAGCCCATTGCTATCCCAGAACTAGAGCTGTGGCACAGTGGTGCAACACACACACACACACACACACACACACACACACACACACACACACACACACACAGAGGACCCGAGGTCGGATCCCCAGTGCTGAGGGAGGGGGGTGAGGGAGATCGCTGCCTTTGGATGATCATCTAGTTTATTTTCTGAAGATAATAACCCAATCAGCTGTCTGGCACCAAAGAGTTTTAGTCCTTATGTTTCCTCTGACCAGTGACCAGTTTCATATATTAAAACAAGAAACTGGGGGCTGGCAAGATGGTATATTCCGCTAAATGTATCTGCTGCCAAGCACAACCCAAGTTTGATCCCTGGGACATATATGGTAGAAGAGAACTGAGTCCCACACGTCTGTCCTGACAACATGTGCCATGGCATGTACAATTCACGTGCAGGCATGTGCGCGTGTGCGCGCACACACACACACTAAAATGCATTTTTTTTTTTTTTGGTTTTTCAAGACAGGGTTTTTCTGCGGCTTTGGAGCCTGTCCTGGAACTAGCTCTGTAGACCAGGCTAGTCTCGAACTCAGAGATCCGCCTGCCTCTGCCTCCCGAGTGCTGGGATTAAAGGCGTGCGCCACCAACGCCCGGCTGAAAATGCAATTTTAAAAAACAACCAAAAGACAGAAACCAGAAGAGGAGAGAATGTTACCGCTTATTTGACAATATAAGGAGCCTTTAATCCCAGAACTCAGAAGCAAAGCCAGGCAGATCTCTGTGAGTTTGAGGCCAGCCTGATCTACACAGTGAGCTCCAGACAAGCCAGGAATACATAGAGAGACCTGGTGTCAAAGAAAAATAGGAAAGACAGAAAAGAAACCTAAGGCCGTCACACGCCTGTCCTGGCTGCAGACTCACCGTGCTGTGAGGAAGAGGAGGAGGACCTCTCCAGCATGGACTTGTAGAGGTTGCGGAAGGACCAGCTGAGGTCCTGAAAGTTGATCTCTGAGTAGGAGAATTTGAAGTCAGGGTTGGTGTTGTAGAGGGGAGGGGCGCCCTCTGTGCTTTCGCGGCCTGGAGCCCCTGCTGCCACTGCTCCACCATCCACAGACCCCGGGCCCTACAGAAACAGGTAAGGATGATGATCTAAGTCCCTTCTGAAGCAGTACAACCCTCCAAAGGCCACCAGCCACCAGGCTCTCAGGCCCATCCCTGTCACCTTCTCCAGCTGACCAGTTTCTCACCTGCTCTTCCTGCTCTGGTGGGCTCATGTCTTGAATCTGACCTCTTTATTGTCACTACCCATTTCTTCTCTATGACCCTTCCCCAGGGTCCCCTTGCCTTCCTGTCCCAGCTGCAGCTTGCCTGGCTCTATGACCCTTCCCCAGGGTCCCCTTGCCTTCCTGTCCCAGCTGCAGCTTGCCTGGCTCTATGACCCTTCCCCAGGGTCCCCTTGCCTTCCTATCCCGGCTGCAGCTTTCCTGGCTCTATGACCCTTCCCCAGGGTCCCCTTGCCTTCCTATCCCGGCTGCAGCTTTCCCAGCTCTATGACCCTTCCCCAGGGTCCCCTTGCCTTCCTATCCCAGCTGCAGCTTTCCTGGCTCTTGTTCTTTTCACCACCTATTTTCCTGATTTGCTCAGAATTCTGCCATTCTTCATCCGTCCATCTGGTTCCCTCCCCTTCCTTCTTTCTCAGTTTCCCTGCCTAGTATATCATGGGTCCTTAGCACAGAGCTGTGAACAGGGCAGTATCTGAACCTACTCAGCCATCCATCAACTGCCCTGTGCCCGTGGCCCGATTCCTACCTGGCTGTAGCTGGCCATGGAAGAGGGACTCTGCAGTGCCATCTGAGGAGTCCCCTCATGAGGCAGTGAGGTTTCTCCACTCCCTGGAACACCTCCCCGGGGGCTTTTGCTGGCCTCCTGTTCTGGGGAGTCTTGGGGCAGCTGAGAATTATAAAAAAAAGAGAGAGAAAGAGAGAGATAAATCTATATGCAGGGGTGAAACACCTACCTTTGTCCACGCCTTTGTCTCCCCTTTGCTATTAACCCACACCTACCACAGAAATGACTAACATCCAAGAAAGGGATGTCCCAAAGAGGGAAGCACTTACGTCATCATCTGGAGGGTGCCTTCTCTTCCGGGAAATGTCAGGGCAGGTGTCAATTGTCCAATAAGAGCCCTGGAAGGAGAACCCAAGCCCACCAAGAAGAAACGTATTACCTACAGAAGTTCCTGTGGAAACAGGTGCTCAGGAAGCTTCTCACAGTCGTGCTGGGAATGGGGCGGGGCTGGGAAATGTAACTCAGTGCCAGAAAGCTTGCCTAGCATGGACAACGCCTCAAATTGGATTCCCCAGCAGAGAAGAGAAGAAGGAAGAAGGAAGTGAGATCAAGCAAGGAAGAGGAGCAAGAGAAAGAGAAGAGAGAAAAGCACAGTGCTGGACATCCAGACAGAAGCCGAGGGAGCGGAGGACCAGTGAGGAACGGATCTGTCCTCAAAGTCACTGAGCAGAGCAAACAGTAGCTTCAAGTGTTCCAACGGGGCAGAAGAACAATGGTAGCTATGTCAGAGAACTGGAAATGGCCAGAAAAAAACAACCTTTTCCCCTTATGAGCTGAGGCAAAAGTCCAGTGGGCTTTAGCATCTGTCAAATGGGAAGAATGCCCCCTCCTCCTTTCTCACTTTGGTAGGTAAGACCTGAAGACTTTGCATAGAAAAGACTTTGCTTCCAAAAAGACAGTAAGCAAACTGGGTATGTTGGCACACACCTGTAATCCCAGCACTCAGGAGGGACTGAGGCAGGAGGATGGTAAATTCAAGCCAGCCTGGGCTATACAGTGAGCTAATCTCAAAAAAAAAAAAAAAAAAAGGTGACGAGCTAACATTTAGGAACAAGTGCCACTCAAAGGAGTAGCAGCCTGGGCTACAGAGTGAGATTATCTCAGAAAAATAAAACAGGCTGGGCATAGCAGCACATGCCTTTGTTAATTATTTGGCTTTTGCTTTTTAAGATGGAATTTCTCTATAAGACCTTCGCTATCCTGGAACTCTCAACGTAGACCAAGCTGGCCTTGTACTCAGACATCCACCTGTCTCTGCCTCCTGAGTGCTGGGATTAATGGTGTGCATCACAATACCCACCTTGGTATATGCCTTTAATCCCCCCGACTCAAATCTCCGAGTTGGGGGCTAGCTATTAAGTTCCAGGCCTACACAGTAAGACTCTATCTTAAAACATAAGATGATGTGGGAGTGTCATATATCAATCTGTTGATTTCATTGGTTAAGCAATAAAGAAACTGCTTGGCCCTCATAGGTTAAAACATAGGTGGGAGGAGTAAACAGAACAGAATGTTGGGAGAGAGGAGCTGAGTCAGGAGTCGCCATGGTTCTCCCACTCCAGGCAGATGCAGGTTAAGATCATTCCTGGTAAGCCAGCTCGTGGGCTACACAGATTATAAGAAATGGGCTAGTCCAGGTGCGAGAGTTAACCGAGAAAAGGCTAGATATAATAGGCCAAGCGGTGTTTAAAAGAATACAGTTTCCATGTAATTATTTCGGGGCATAAGCTAGAGCTAGCCATGTGGGCGGCTGGGTGCCGGGGACGCAGCCCCGCAGCTCTTACTACAACAATAAGAAGAAAGAAAAGAAGGAAGGATTGAGTAGGGGAGGAGGAGACAGGAAGGAAGAGGTGAGAAAGGAGGAAAGAAGGAAGGAAAGGAGAACCTCAAAATCAACTCTATCATAAACATCCCTATTAAAAACAAAAAGATTTCATTGTCTTCCTTAGTCACCCGTTCTAGTGAGGAGCCAGAAGCTTGGCAACTGTGTTCTTCCTTTGAGGAAAAACAACGATGCTTTTAAAACTAACATGGCTTCCTCTTCTAGGTAATTAGAGCAGCCACAGGACTGAGTGTCAACTACTTCGCTCTCCTTCCTTCTCCCTCTCGTTCCCCAGCATCTCACCTTCCCAGGGTCGTCCCGAGGTCTGGGCACCTTCCGGAAGCACTTGTTAAGAGAAAGGTTGTGTCGAATGGAATTCTGGGGAAGCAAAGAAGCAAGTTAGGTATGAGCATTGTCCAAAGGGACACAGAAGAACATACAGCAGAGTCCCAGGGCACACGCAGCAGCTCTTCACTGTACTGCTGGAAGGCCCAGAAGCCACAAAGAAAACGGGTGAGAAGAGAGAATCACCGAATTAACTGGAGAGAGGCAATGGCGACCAGGTGGTCTGAACGTTAATTTATGGTTTTTCAGCCTTCCTACCAAACTGACAACAGGTTCTATGCCTCAAATCATGAGGATCGCTGAGGTCATGCCTAGCCTGGTGATAGCAAGTTCCAGGACAGCCAAGAGTTACATTGGGAAGACGCTGTCTCAAAAAACAAACAAAACAACAACAAAAATAGCCAGACATGGTGCTCCACATCTGTAAGCCCAGCACTTAGGAGACACAGGCAATAGAGTGGCCACAAGCTAGAAGCCAGTCAGGTCTACAGTCACATGAGTTCTAGGGCAACCAGGACTGCGTGAAAAGACCATCTTTCAAAAAAGCAGCCAGGGATAGTTGCATGTTCTTTTTTGATTTTTCGAGACAGGGTTTCTCCGTAGCTTTTGGTTTCTGTCCTGGAACTAGCTCTTGTAGTTCTTAATAAACCCATCTCTCAGGAGGAAGAGACCAGGGAATCTCTGTGAGTCTGAGACCACTCTGGTTTACACAGAGTTCCAGGACAGCCAGAGCTACATGGCGAGACCATGGGAGAAGGGGTGCTGATGAGTCAATGAGATGGGGTACGGGGGCAAAGTGCTTGCCACACAACCCTGGGGCACCTGATTCCTGAAACCCATATCCAGACAGAAGGGAGAGGCTCAACTCTACAAAGTTATCCTCTGACCCCCCACATGCACATCGTGGCACAGGCCCGTGAGCACGTGCACACACACCCTATGCACATAGTAATAATAATAATAATAATAATAAATTTTAAGTAGGGATTGGGAACTAGTTCAGTGGATAAAGAGTGTGGCACCCAAGCAAGAGACCTAAGTTACCTAAACTCAAATCTCTGGAATTCACATTAACTAGGTGTAACCAGGCACAGCTGTACTCCCACAGGTTTTAGGATTAGATGTGAAGTGGAGACGTAAGAATCCTTGGAAGAAACAGGGATTGGTGGTACACACCTTTAATCCCAGCACTTGGGGAGGCAGAGGTAGGTGGATTTCTTTGAGTTCAAGGCCAGCCTGGGCTACAGAGTGAGTTTCAGGAAAGTTAGGGCTACACAGAGAAACCCAGTCTTGGGGAAAGAAAAAAAGAAACAAGCAACAACAACAAAACATCCTGGAAGATCACACTACACAGTATGCATGTACTCACCTGTACACACATGAACACACCCACACCAACAAATAAACACCTCAAATTCATATCTACCTCTACCTCTCTTCTCAATTCCCCACAAAAAGCGAAAGAACAGTATTTTTATACTGTTTACATATATTATAATGAGAAAAATAATCCGAAGGGGAGATTAAAGCTCCCAAGTGCAAGGACTAATTTAAATACCTGGAACCCACGTAAAGCCAGGAGCAGTAGGGTGTTCTATAATCCCAGGGTTACACACTGGGAGCACTATGTTGTCCTATAGCAAACGGGAGGCAGAGACAGTGCCCACAAGTTCACAGACCACTCCACCTGCTACATACGTGTTAACAACAAAGAGACATTGTCTCAAATGAGGGCAAGGACCAACACCCAAGGTTGTCTTCTGAGCTCCACGTATGCTGTGGTACACAACACCATGGCACCCTTGTCCCTCATTAACATAAAAAAACGCATGCAAGTGCACACACACACACAGAGACAAGGACTTTAAAAAAAAAAACAAAACTCAGGAGTGAAACCAAAGCACAGACCAGCTCCGTTTTCTCAACAACACTCAGAATGACCATATCTGGACAAAAGGAAAAGCCGTGGTACGTATGTGTTGGTATATCGAGAGATGTCGCCTAGAGGAACACAAGTACCAAGGGAAGACTGAATGCTTCCAACAGCCTCAGCTCATCATCTGGTTTGTAAGTCAACGGTGATTTATGGAGTGAGAAATGGGAAAACAACATTTAATTCCCACTCCTCCTCAACATCTGGCAAATGAGTTGCTGCTCCAAATGACTACAAGAAAGCCTGGCTTGGTACTGCAGGCCTGTCATCCCAATATTGGGCAGTCAAGACAAGAGAATCAGTAGTTCAAGGTCGGCTTCAGCTACATTTGTGAGTTCCAGGTCAGACCAGACCAGCCCAAGCCATATGAGACATTGTCCCAAAATATATAGATCTTTGGGGGATTTATTGTTTGGGTTCTTCTACTTCTTCCTCCTCCTCCATCTTTTTCTTCTTTTTTATTTGGGGGAGGGTCCCACTATGTAGCCCTAGCTGGACTGGAACTTGCTATGTAGACCAGGCTGGTCTTGAACTCAGATCCACCTATGTATACTTCTAAAGTGCTGGGATTAAAGGTGTGTGTGACTAAACCTGGCTAAAAAATATGTAGTTTAATATCAACCTTCTTTTTGCAAGGAGGGTTCCCACTGTCTCTCCCTAACAACATCGTTGCTTGGTTAGTGAACCAGCTATTGGTAAAGGACCTGGTTACTAGAGAGTAGTAATATACATTCAATTCTTAATATACATACAATGTTTCAAAAGACGATGACAAGGGAGCTATAGAAATTTGATGGGTTTCCTACCAAAGCAGGAGTCATGCCTTGCATTGCTCAATGACTCGAACATTGCAGAGCCACAAGAAAGACAAGAAATCAAAGACTGCCCTTTTGGGGGAACAGGACAATAAGAGGGTGTGGTAACCAACAGCATCCTGCTATCCTATAACTATACTTAATTACTTGGCATCACTAGTGTTTCCATGATAAAGCTGCTGAGGTTGATTTAGACTCAAGTAAATAAAAGTAGGGGTAGAAGATAAGAGACCTTGAGTTTATATATCCCTCAGACAGGTCAGAATGAACCAGACCAGGTTATAGGAAGAAATAAAAGTAGGGGAAAGATTGCTAACGGCAAAGTACAAGCCCAGGCCATAGAAACAATCCCACCTTCCAGCCAATGCCAGCATTCTTGTAATAGGGGAAGTTATCGCAGATCCAGCGGTAAATCTCACTGAGGGTCATCTTCTTGGCTGGTGAGGAGTTGATGGCATAGGTGATGAGGGTGGCGTAGCTGTAGCGTGGCTTGCCATCTTGGTGGACTGCTGCTTCATCTTTGCTGAGGGTGGCATTAGGATCCGTGGGAGAGCCTGGGGAACACTTTCGGCTGCCCCCTGGAGGCACAGCCTGAGAAGCGCTCCCCAGCTTCTCAATACTAGCTCGGAGAGTCAGCTGGGGCAGCCAGTCTATGGAGGTGAGGCTGCTCTCTAGGTCAGAGGCCATTGTGCTTCTGGGTTCTGCAGAGAAGACAAAGAGGGGAGGAAGGCAGATTAATTTCCTGTTTATTGGAGCCAGAAAAACCCCATGTCCAATGCATAAGGCAAGCAGTTTCTTCCCATTTTAATTCCTACTCAAGAACGTTCTCCTGAGAAACCCATGATCCCAAGTGCAAGTGCCACAAGTCTCCCCCCAGATGACGGAGGGCTTCATACCCCATCTTAATGGAGAGTGTCACTACAAGGCCTCGCCCGCTGTTGACAGAATTTTCTGTCCCTCCCAGTTCCACAGACGTTCAGTCCCAAAGAAACACAGAGGCCTACATTAATTATAAACTGGTTGGCCTCTTACATCTTAATCCAAAATTCTTGTCTGTGTTAGCCAAATGGCTTGGTACCTTTTATCAGTGAGGCATTCTCATCTCGCTTCCTCTGTGTCTGTGTGACGACTACAGACTGAGCCTTTCCTCTTCCCAGAATTCTCCTGTTCTGGTCGCCCCACCTATACTTCCTGCCTGGCTACTGGCCAATCAATGTTTTATTAAAATAATACAAGTGACGAACCTTGGTCTTGTACCCTGTAAAGGTTTGTCACTTGTACTGGTTTAACAAAATGCTGATTGGCCACAAGAATTATGGTTTAAGATGTAAGAGTTAGTTAATAAGAAGCCTGAGCTAATAGGCCAACCAGTTTATAATTAATATAGGCCTCTGTGTGTTTTTTTGGGACTGAACGACTGTAGGACTGGAAGGGACAAAAAAATGTCAACAAATGGTACCAACATGGACAACTAAATCCACTTAAAACGTAAGACAGCTTGGGAAATAATTCTAGACACAAAAGAACAGCATTAAGCACTGCTTCTTGGTAGTAGCATTTTCTCAGGTGGACTCTGTTTGCTAGAGGCAAGCACCTATCATTTAAGACAAGGCTTCCTGACTCAGTTATAGTTACAAAAACCTTGCAGGTCTTTTAAAGGCCCTGCCACAAAACAATTAAATGGTGTTTATGAGTAGCTGACAGCATGCTTCTTGGTGGTGGCAAGGACCTTGATACTCCACAGAGTTGTGGCAATAAACATGGCTCCCGCTAGTACCTCCACTGTGAAGCTAGACTCTCAGAAAGCTAAGGAATGGAGTGGATCCAGCAACCAAAGCCAGCTTTAATCCTAGCCATATCTCTTAGCAAATTAGACTCATGTGGTCAGAAAAAAAGAGATATACAGTAAAGACAGATTCAGACACACACACACACACACACACACACACAAAAAAAAAAAAACCAACAAACTCTAAACGGTTTAAACTGTGTTTAAAAATATATGTAGACTTGTGAGAGAAAAAAAGCAAGAGAGTAGTCGGGTGTGGTGGGACACACCTTTAATCCCAGCACGGGTGTGGTGGGACACACCTTTAATCCCAGCACTCAGGATAGAAGCTGAACTCCTATGAGTTCAAGGACAGCCTGGTCTACGGAGCAAGTTCTAGGACAGCCAAAGATACACAGAGAAGCCCTGTCTTAAAAAATATATAAATAAAAAATAAAGATGGAAACTACACAGAGAGTCTGGATACTGTATATTGTTGTGTTGTCTTTGAACTGCTTGATGGCTGAGGAAGGAGCAGCTGCTAAAAGACATCTGATTATAAGTGCTGCTGGATTAATTCAACCTAGGTATTTTGACTTCAAAATTTAAGTCAAAAGATATTGACTTTTGAGAAGAGGTTTTGCTTTTGTTTCCACAGGAAATGAGAGGCTGTGGATGTATTCCAGATTAAGAAAAATCAGATTTGATCAAGGAAGACCCCCCCCCCCCTCAAAAATCTCCAATAAGAGTGGATGACCCAGATGATCCAACATTTCAGAGGACCTCTTTTGGAGTTTCTTCTGAGTTCTACATCCAGAACAGCCTCAAGACCAAGACCCCTTTGTGGCCGGGCAGTGGTGGCACACGCCTTTAATCCCAGCACTTGGGAGGCAGAGGCAGGCGGATCTCTGTGAGTTCGAGGCCAGCCTGGTCTACAAGAGCTAGTTCCGGGACAGGCACCAAAGCTACAGAGAAACAAAAACAAAACAAAACAAAACAAAAGACCCCTTTGTGCAGGACCAGATAGCATACACCACAAAAGCTGAAATATTCCAATTCTCCTTAGAGCCCTACAACACAGTATTTTTAAACTAAGTTTTTTTAAAAAAAAAAATCAACCCCACTTAAGCAGCAAGTAAAATTAGCTGAAGTCCATTCTCCAATTACATGACACTTGTATGTTTATATATAGCATCCAAAAGTACATAGCAATAGCACATAAAGACAGTCTGAGCAAACACAAGTATACACCAATGAAGCACACATCAACACTCTTTTAAGAGTTCCAGACTAAACGAGAGCACGCAATCTTTTGCTACACACATCTAACATAAGGCATGCTAAGCATTTCCCAAGGGCAGGTTCCACCTGAGCTGGTCTGGGAGCACAGGGCTGCATCCTCAACTGCTCCAGAGACTGAGGCAACAGAATCACACACTCAAGGCCTGCCTGGGCTACACAGTGAATTCACAGGCAGCCTAGGCAATGAGAGCCTGTCTCAAAATAAGAAGGCAAAGAGAGGGGAAAGAGATTGTTCAGCAGTTTAGCACACTTGTTGCTCTTGCAGAGGGTTTAGGTTCCATTCCCAAGGCGTACAACCATCTATAAACTCCAATTCTGGGGAATCCAACAACCTCTTCTGACCTCCTCGAGTATGATGCACACACACACACACACACACACACACACTACACATACATACATCCATGTAGGCAAAACACTCATCCATAAAAAACATAATAACTTTAAAAAATAAATTAAAAAACAAAAGGGGGGCCACAGAGAAACTCTGTCTCGAAAAACCAAAAAAAAAAAAAACAAAAAACAAAAAAGAGGGGGGCTGAAGGTGTAGCTCAGTGTAGAATACCTGCTTGGGGTCCTGGGTTCTGTCTCCAGCACCACAATAAATAAAGAAATAACCAAATGATGACAACCGGCAACAGCAGGATGCAAGACTGCCCCAGGGACAGTGGCGCAGGCACAGAGATCACCGCATATACACGGCGTACATTACCAAACAAAGTCACACAGAGGAAACAGATTCTGAGTCCACAGCTACCCTCCCACCTTTAAAGCTGCCCCTGGCAGGCTCCCGCCCACAGACACCACCAGGAAGAAGTCATCAGCGGGGACCTCCCACCTCCCAGGCCTGCTGGGCTTCACCGAGCCAGGGAGCCACCCAGATGTGTGTGCACACCGGTAACAATCAGATAGCCTGGCTAAAAATAGCCTCCGTGGGGCTAAGAGCTGGCTCCCCTTCCCCGCCCTGCTCCCTCCTTCCTTCCCAGCCAGGCAGGCAGACTGGCTGCACCTCCATGCAAACTCCTAGAGCTAGAGAGTCCGCCTACGCCTGATGTTTGCCTCCCGCCCAGCTGCCAACCAAACCGCCTAGGCTCTCACCACTAACTAGCTAGTGACAAGTTGGTGGAGGAAGGTGAGGAACGGGGGACCGTAGCTGTGTGGCCCGGTCTAGAAAGGCTGACAGGAACCTCTGTGTAGCCATTTGGCACTTCCGTGGAGCTGAAGCCAGGGAACCCCTAAGCTCTTGCTGTCTAACAGGTCTGTGCCTGCGATGCTGCAGGATTCCAGCGAGCATTTCTTGCTCAGTGGTAGCAGGACGGACGGTGCTCTGCACCAGCCACGGCTACCCCTCAGAACTTGGGCCGCTGGTGAGAACCCTGTTCTTCGGGTGATGTCTCTGGCAATCCAAAGCCAAAAGGTGCACAACCAGACCAGACATAGGTAAGCACGTACAGACTCACACACCTGGTGGGCCCAAACTCTGTCTTACACAGGACCCCTTAGCCTCTCTCTTAACCCTAGCACACCACATACCTTTCAGACTCTCAACTGTAGTGTTGCCATAGATACTTGCCCTTTCCCCTACAGGTCAGAATTCTGATTCATTCCCCTCCTGACCAGGTCCCACCCTGGAAATCAACCTGTACTCACATGCACCTGGCCCGGTGCTCCCCACCAGCAACACACCTAGTCCACAAAGCTGAAGGGAACATCTTCGGTAGCCCAATCAGCAAGAGACCTAACTGCACCCCAACAGTTGTTTGAGCAGAGAACAACAATGCGGCCTTGTTTGTAACTTGTACCAAGAAAGCCTGCCCATTCGGCCTTCAGCGCCAACCATTTCTTCCTAATGGTATCACCTTGCCCCAAACCTTGGAAACTTAAAAAACAACAGGGACACATCACCACTCCAGGAAGCCACACACCTTCTAGCCTGTTGCTGGGTTAAAACATCCCAGGCTCTGGACTACAGCAGGGAGCTTGACAGTATCTGTTTCACAGCTGGATACTCTAAGATCAACAGTGACATGCCAATTAGTAAATTTTCAAGGACCAAGTTCATCCCTAGAAAGGTTATTACCCTATTCCCTAGTCAGGCGGCCACTACCCTCTTCAACCTGGGGTGTATGTATGTGTATGTGTGTGTGTATCTGTGCGGGTGCGCTTATGTGCGTGTAAGTATTGAGTCTGTTGTCCACACTGGTCTCAAACTTCTGGACTCAAGCAATCCTCCTGCATCAGCTTCCCTGGGTCTACAGGGCATCAGTTCCTAGCACCTATTATCTCCTGCTAAATAACCCGGGGAAGTTTCATCTTCAGAGCCAACATATTTCAGTTATTTCCTCTAACTGCTCTCGAACGCAATCTGGAGCATGAAGGTGGATTCAAAGTGTATAGAGGCCTTCCAGAACCCCCTTGACACATGCTAACCACCAGGAATTCCTGGGAGGGAAACACTCCCCGCTCTTTCTAGTTATCCTGTACCCTTCCCTCCCTGAGGTCAGACACCTTTCTCCACTCCCCTCCCAGGCAACCCTCCCTCCAGACGCAAACCTCAGCGCTCAGGATCCATTCCAGCATGAACTCCACAAAGCTCACAGGGCCTGGTCCTCCGGGTCTCTGCTCTTTAGCCTGGCCCACTTCCTTACCCCCTCACTTCCCCATTCGTAAAGAGCAGTGGAGATTGACTGAGCTTCCTCCATCCTATTCCCAACCCCAACACTGACTCACTAATTGCCCCTAGCCATCCCTTGCTCCCTGATGTAGTCTTCATGCCTCAGTTTCCCCCTCCAGTAAAAGAAATGAAGTCATAGCCCCTACCAAGCTTCATTCCTGGAGGGACAGGAATGACGCTAAGGCGCTCGTAGCTGCCACACATTCCACACTCCCCAAAATAATGGCACCAGGCTAATGTCCAGGGCTATTATTAGAACAGCAAACAAGAGGTGGTTCCATTTCTCAGGCCGGCCAACCTAGTTACCCAGACCTCTCTCCAGGTGGGCCTCGTGCCACTGGGCTGAGGCAGAACCTGAGTCGGGCAGCATTCTTCTCGGCATGCTGGAAGACTGGAAGGAAATAGAGAATCTGGGAAAGGCAGCCAAAGGGCAGGCTCCATCACATCCACGGGACAGCTAATGAAGACTTCAGTGCTGGGGAAAGGCAGAAAACAAAACAAAGGCAAACAGAACGTCTTCTCGGGAAGCCACGGCCGAAGGTACAGGACCTGTAAGCGTCACAAGAGCCTGAGCTGTTTGCTGCCCGTCTTACCCAGACAGCTAATAACTGTCCTCCCCGTGGAACTCAAGCTGGGTATCCCAGAGGGATAACTTCCTGGGCTGTACCTAGTGCCAAAACTAACAGGGCAGTGGCGGAGTATATCTCATGATCAGCCACGCTGCCTGCCTTTCCAGCCCAGCTCCTATAGACGAGTCATTTAATGTCTCTGTATCTTAATTTCTATCTCTATAAAATAAAAATTCTAATAAGTTAGATATAGTGACTCAGCTTGTACTCCTAGCACTCTGGTTGAAGCAGGAGGATTGCTATTATTTAAGTCATCCTGAGCTGCATAATAAACTCAAGGCCAGCCACTTCGATACAGTGAGACACTGTCTCACACACACACACAAATCTGAAAAGTTTTTTTAAAAAAATTTTTGTTTGTTTCTCAAGACAGGGTTTCCCTGGGTAGCCCCAGCTACACTGGCTGGCTTCACAGATGCCCTGGAACTCACTCTGTAGCCCACGTTGTCCTGAAACTCAGAGACCAGCCTGCCTTCACCTCCAGTGCTGGGATTAAAGGTGTGTGCCACACTGACCAGCTTAAATTTCTTTTACATAAAGGTTAACTATTCCTACAACAGTTGTTGTAGAGATTATATAATATTTCTTAAGATGCCTAAAGCACTTATCAGGTGAACCTTTACTTTTAAATGAAAAAAGCAAAGAATATTAGGGGGTCTGGAGAGATGGCTCAGTGGTGAGAGCTCTGGCTCTTCCAGAGGTCCTGAGGTCAATTCCCAGCAACCCCATGGTGGCTCACAGCCATCTGTGCTAAGATCTGGAGCCTTCTTCTGGCCTGCAGGCATTCGGGCAGGCAGAACACTGTATACATAATAAATAAAAATCTTTAAAGCCAAGCAGTGGGGGCACACGCCTTTAATCCCAGCACTTGGGAGAGGCAAGTGAATCTCTGTGAGTTCAAGGCCAGCCTGGTCTACAAGAGCTAGTTCCCAGCTAGGCTCTAAAACTACAGAGAAACCCTGTCTCGAAAAACCAACAACAACAACAAAAAAAAAAAAGAAATCTTTAAAAAAATAAAATAAAATAAAAGACTCAAAGTTCAGTACCAAGCACCGAAGTCTAGAATACTATGGGCTGAAAAGATGGCTCAGCAGTTAAGAGCAGTGGCTGCTTTTCCAGAAGGCCTGAGTTCAATTCCCAGCACCCACATGGTGGCTCACATCTATCTGTAATTGTTTATCTATAACTGTAGTCCCATGGGATGCTTCCCTCCCCTCTGGTGTGCATACTTGCAGAGAAAATACTTATATACATAAAATAATTAAGTCTTTTTTGAAAAAGAAAAGAGAACGTAGAAATTAGAGCAGAAAGTAGAGGCAGCATCAGAAAGATCAAAGGTGCAGTGGTCGCATTGCAAAGCTGGAGCAAAGCTGCAGGCTGCAGGGACGTCTGAATTTCCAACGCAAGCTTCCTTCAAGTTCCTATCAATCCAGTCCTGGCTATGTAAGATGGGGAACCTCCAAGGATGAAGGGATGGGGAAATATCATCACTGTCTTTCAAGGGGATTTAGGTGCAAGCCTAAGATACAGTCTGGAAAACAGAACAGTCCACATCACAGTTAATCCGACCAGCCCCACACGGAGTCCTGTCCCAGCAGAGCCAGTTGAATGAGTGGGTCCGCCTGGAGCAGCTACAGGACAGTTGGCGCTGAGTCGGTCACACTGAGCCGTTCAGAAGCTGCACCCCAGCGTCTGGTGAAGTGCTGTGTAAGAAACAAACCCCGCTACACCAGACATCTGTTTTTCAAAAGGAGGCGAGGCGGTGCTAGACGTGGAAGTAAAGGACCCTCATCCTTTTTAAAACTGGAGGCACCCATGATGAGGCTCTCCTACCAGTCCCGGAAGCAACAGGCCCAACCTGAGAAAGGGCTGCCCTGCTGCCAGGGATGGCTGCCAAGAGGGGGCCGTGAGAATTCCCACTGGTGGGGGAGGGAGACTATGCTAAGGGATCCGAGAGCAGTCTGAACACAACAATGTACCCTTCTCCATGTACACACTCAAAACAGACACCGAGCTACGTTCATTTCCACTGAGAAGCATGCACATCATTGTACAGCATGACCTGTCAACTCCAGCCCTGAATCACACACCGTCACTACAGAAACCTCCAGGGTCAAGTGACGGGATAGAGACTTAGGCAATCTGCTCATGGCCCATCTAGGAAGGCAGACACTGAAAACCCAAGAGGGGGAAGCCCCATACAGAAGATGAGGCACAGTCCACTGACCAGACGGGAGAGCAGGCCCGCAGGTCGTGACCTCGGGTAAAAACTCAGCTCGCTCCAGACACAGTCCAGGCTCAACCAGAAAAAATTTCTTGGTTGTCTTTTGTCCTGCTTTCTCTAAAGATTCTGGATTTTGATGACTCCCTGAGGTAGGGTGAAAATTTTCACCACGAGGTTCCTGGGACCCAGAACTAAACAAGAGAACAGGAAGAGAGATGATGAGACCAGTAGAAGTTTTCCTGGGAGGAAACTCTAAAAAAAACTCCGCAGAAGGTCAGACCTCCCTGGTGGTCCACTCCTGCAGACAAGGTGTGTGGGGGTGGGGGATGAGACCGGTAGATGTTTTCCTTGGAGGAAGCTCTTTAAAAACTCCACGGAAGGTCAGACCTCCCTGGTGGTCAACTCTTGCAAACAAGGTGGGGGGTGGGGGGCGCTAGGAAACACTCCCTGCCTCTAAACCACAATCCGATTTTTCCGGAGGAACTGTCAGCAAATATAGGACTTGAGGCTGAACCAGTATCTGGGGAAGACTTCAGTCCACCAGTGTGCACTACCCTTGACAGTTTTTTCTCACCTTCGGGCATGTGAATTCACCCTTCTTATGGAGGGCAGACATCCAACCTGAAGCAGGGATGTCAGAAGGGCCTCCTGGTACCCAAGATAGAGATAGGTGGGGACAGATAGACAGTCAGGCAAACAGTCATTGTCACAGACTGAAAGACCTCTGTTGGCCATTAAGCTGACGTAGGCATGCCCTAGACAAGACACGAGATGCCCCATGACTTTAAGGGCAGGTCCACTCAGTAGAGGACAAGACCCAAACAGAGTGCTGTGGGATTCTGGCTGTGCTGTGTCCTGCATTCCTCACAGTAACCATGGCGTCCTTGAAACGCACCTGTTGTCTGTTCTCAGTGCAGAGAGAGCATCCACTTCTTTAGGGACCGCAAATGGCCCATTCCTTTGGTCTCCGAAACCTACCTAAAAAGCCCGTTTCTCAGAGTCTCTGTAACAACATGTGGCTTCCGGTGCAGAAGGTCCATCAGAAAACATCCCCCAGGGGACTCTACCTTCCACCGGCATGAACCCCAAGATCCACCATTTCAGCCCTCCATACTACTAGTGCGTAAAGACCACAGAGACAAGATGCAAGAAAGCACTAACCTGCCTCCAAGGTTCCCCCAGCCACCGGAGGAAACCACCTGGTACAGAAGTCTGTGGTTGCAGGGATTCCCCTCTTCACAGGCAGGTGACGGGGCTCATCCTCTGTGACTCTTCCAGCGCCTGGCGGAGCCTCCCAAGCAGGAGCGGGGAACTCTGTCCCCCGAGGAAGAGGAGTCGGAGGAGGAGGAGGGGGAGAGGGTGGACCTACCTGGGGAAGGTGGCACACCCCCCACACCCTGCCTGCTACCCTGGGGAGGAGGGGAGGAGCCTCTCCCAACCAGGAGTTGTCTCCTCCCCCTTGGGGGAATCCCCCTCTCCCCCAAACTGGCTCTTTCAGGGGCTGAAGGCTCTTTCCGTCTGCTGGAGATCTGAGCGGAGGGGCTCTGCCCGGGTCCACTGTCTAGGTGCACAGAAGTTGAGGGGCGAGGTCCTCCACTCTCCAGCAAACTGGAACCGATTGCTGCCGGTTCCCCGGAGAGTCCTGGCTTGTGCGTGTCAGGACGCCTCTCGGCGGTGAGTACTGGGTGGGATGCGGGGTGCCTACTCCACAGGCATGGCTCCCTTTCCCTCTGCCTCCAAAGTCCCGAACTGTCTGGAGTGCGGTGAGGAGTGGAGACGGTCTCACTCCGGGTCCTTCAAGTCCCACTACCCTTCCCGACTTCTGGGGGTCTCCTCCAGAGCCAGCGTGGGAGGGACAGCGCGTGCCCTGCGGCGATCTCTTCTGGCGGTCCCGGCAGTGGGGAGGGTCTTCCCTCCCACGGGAGAGGGAGCAGGTCCGGGCGCCGGTTGTCTCGAGGGTGGGGTCCACGCACTCTCGCTCCCGCCCGGCCGGCCTGGGCAGCAGGGTCCCGGAGGCCGCGGTCCCGGCTCCCGTCACCAGCTCTAGGGCGGCAGCGCCTCCCAAGTCGCGTCCCCGGTCCGCCGCGCTTCCCCGCGCTTGGGGCTCCCCGCGCTGCCACCAATGAAGCTCCGGCCGGCGGGTCGGGGTTCCCGGGAGCCGGCAGGCGGACGGAGCGCGTCGGGGCTCGGCTCGGGCTCGGCTCGGCTCCGCTGCAGGCCCCGGCTCCTCCCCGGCCTCGGCGCCGCGCTTCGCGCCCCTCCCCCTCCCGCCGCCGCGGCCACCGCCTCCCGGCGCGGGTTAAGGAGGAGCGCGGATCCCCGCACTCCGCGGGTCGCTGACCCTAGGCTCCCGGGCACTGCCGGTGCCAGCGTCCACGCTAACGGCCACGCAGACCTCCCATTGTACTATGATCTCCTCCTAGATGAGCATTCCCGGTTTTCTCAAACGTCTTTGATGGCTTCTCTTTCTCTTCCAGACAGCTTATAAAGGGTTATGGAGACCAGCGTGAAGTTAAAGTTTACTCTTATCCTGGAGGTCAGTGGTTGTTTCTTGGGTCAGTGGATGTATAAAAGGATAGACGAGCTTGTAGAGAAATAAGCATCGGGAGATGGAGTCTTGTGTTAGTTCTGGCTCCGTTAACTCGTGCAAGGCCCTTGTTTCTGGAGTCAGAGTCACCCAGGAGGGGACTTGGATACTCTGACCTGCCTACTAATATGGATGTCGCAGTCACCGAGGGAAACGATTTATGTGGAGATGCTCTTTAAAACCGTACATATACAAAGGGTACAAAGTATGGTTGTTTTTTTCCTTGACATGCCTATAAATTATCATTTTTGACCTTTGTGCTAAAGTCAAGCCATATTTCTAGAAAACATTTTATCCTGATTGCCACAGGAGGGACGGAATGTTCTCTCAGCACATCCTTCTACTCCTTACAGAATAATCTCCATTCTGGGACAGGAAATACCACCAGGGTAGCCTATCTCTTCTACCCATCCAGTCACACGCTACATATTTCAGCCTCTGGCTTACTTTTCTCCAGTTGTGTTCTAATATAAAATGATAAGGCAAAAAAATTGCTTATTTAATAATTGAATTACTCAAAAAGATTGCAGTTTGATAACTACTTTTAGATAGTCATGCCATTTGTCTTCTGGCTAAATATATGCTGCTCCATTAAGTTCTGTGTACATACGGTTACATCACACGTGCAATGTGCAGGCACTAAACCTTCACACTTCTGCATGTCTTATCACCTTTGAGTCTTCTAGCAATTCCGCATAGCACTGTCATTGTGTCTTGTGGAGCGTAACTATGGCTGGAAGATACTGTCTGTGTCTGAGTTCACATAACTCAGACTAGAACTATTTTAAGTCAGGTGTTAAACGCAAATGGCTCCAGAACCCCTAGAACATCATTGGCTTGAATGGTGAAAACATAGCCGTTCTCAAATTGCCAGGAGTGAAGCCCGGTGAAGCCGTTTCCCTCCCCACACTCCAGTGTCCAGTTTTTAAGGATGCATTTCCTCCAGCGTGGGGGCACTCCTTGTGTTTACAGAGGAGGATCTGGAGTTCAAGGCCAACTAGACTACCTTCTGAGACCCTGTTTTTAAAAGGAAAGAGGAAGTGACAGCGATAGCTCAGTTGGTCCAAGGAAGCACAAGCCCTATATTGTGGCAAGTACAGTCCCAATACTGGGGAGAAGGAACCAGGAAGATCAGGAGTTCAAGGCCAGCCTATACTACTAGTCAGTTGGGGGAGGGGGAGGTTGTTATAAGACAGGTAGTCCAGGCTGGCCTCAAACTGACTATGTAGAGGCAAAGGCAGAGGAATCTCTTGAGTTTGAGGCCAGCCTGGTCTACAGAGTGGAGTTCCGGGACAGAGAAACATTGTCTCAAAAAAAAAGAAAAGAAAAAAACCTTTAAGCTTCTGATCCTGGCTGGTCTGTTGGTTCAGCAGTTAAAAGCACCTGCTCTTCCAGAGGACCCAGGTTCAATTCCTAGCTCCTGCATAAGGCACTCACAACCATCTATGATGCCGGTCCCAGGGGAACTAATGTCCTCTTCTGACCTCCATAGTTACAAGGCACACATACAATACATATACATGCAGACAAAAAAAAATGTTTAAGCTCTAATCCTGCCTCAACCTGCCCACGTGCTGGGATTACAGGCCTGTGGGCACAGTTGCTCTGGTGTTGGTGCTTTTGTTTCAAGATAACTTTTTATATTTTATTTTTTAAATTATGTATCTCTGTGTGGGGTGCAGGTGTTCTTGGAGGTCAGAGCTGGAGTGATGGTGATTGTGAGATGCCTGATTATGGTTGCTGGGATCCGAACTCGGCTCCTTGGCAAGAGCAGGACCGCTTGTAACTGCGGGGCATCTCTCCAGCCCCACTTGTCCACTGTTACCCGCACACAGTGTTACCCATCCATCCAGTGTTACTAAGCACTGAGGCAAACATTCCACCAACTGAGCTCCATGAGACAGACCAAAAGAGCTCCACATAGTGGCCCACATCTATAATCCCCAACACTTCTGAGGCTGAGACAGGAGGGTTGTCACAAGTTTGAGGCTAGCCTAAACTCCATTCCAGGCCCAGCCTGCATCTGCATATCTTCCTGGGTCTGTGTTGGATGGTTTCTCTAAAGTTTCAGCACTTCTGGTGTATCCCATTTGTAGGGCAGGGGTTCGAGGTAGAAGCAGTATACAATGGAAAGGCTAGGGTCTATAGACGTGATAAATACAAAGCGTAGGCTCTCATAGAGGCTCCCATGTCCAGTACTCACTGCCTGTAACTCCAGAAGAACCGAGCACCTCTAAGGACACAGGCACTCATGTGCAGGGCCCACACGTGTACAAACTGAACCCACCTTAGATCCTCCTGCCTCTACCTCCCAAGTGCTGGGATTAAAGTTGTGTACCACCACTGCCCAGCTGGTTGTAGCACCTTTATAGAAGCAAACTAAATAAAAAAGAATTTATAGTAACTCTACATAATAGAATATTGCTTGGCGTTTCAAAGAGTCATTTTACTTCATTCCGTGTGAGCCAAAATAAATCCTTTCAAAAAATAATTTTATTTTATTGGAACTAGCTTTGTAGACCAGCCTGGCCTTGAACTCACAGACGCCCAACTGCCACTGCCTCCCAAGTGCTGGGATTAAAGGCGTGCGCCACTACCGCCCAGCTCAGTTGCTTTTATACGTCTGTATTTGAATAAGAAAATTACATTTCAGGAGCTAGAGAGATGCAGTTAAGAACATTTCTCTGGCAGAGGATATGGATTCAGGTCCCAGCACACACGTGGCAGCTCACAACACTCTGTAACCCCAGATCTGGGGATCTGAGACCTCTTCTTTTCTCGGGCCCCTACATGCTCACAATGCACATAACATACACTCAGGCACACGCATATAGACATAAACTGTTTTTTAGTAAAATTACAATATAATAATTTGCCTAATATGATCAAATAGGCATTTTTAAAATATGTTTCTAGGAGTAGAGAGATTACTCAGTGATTAAGAACACTGGCTGCTCAAAAAACAAACAAACGTGTGATACTTATTTGTGTGTGTATATGCATGCATGGCTATAAATACGCTAAGTAGTTTTTATTTTAATTTTCTTCAGTTTTTACTGTGTATATTAGTGGTTATGTGGGTTTTGCTAATGTAATGATCTGTAGTTTTCAGGGGCCAGTGAGAAGCACCTGCCAAAAAGCATGTTGACCAGAGTTGATTCCCGGAACCCACACAGTAGAAGAACCAACTCCAACACGCTGTCCTCTGACCTCCACACGTGTAGGGAACCACGTGCGTTGACACACGTGCCCAATAAATACATGAAGAAAAAGAAGGGGAAAAGAACAGCAAGCCTGGCTTGGTTCTGTTAAGACCAAAAGCAGGAGGAGGCGCTTGCATTCCTTCCCCCTCTGCTTTCTGGTAAGGATGGTGTTGATTGGGGAGCGGGGGATCAAGAGCCTCTTTTTAGAAGGCTCAAACAGTTTAGGCGTTTGTCATGAAAGCCTGGTGACCTGAGTGTGATCCCTGGAAAGAGAACAAAGTTGTCCTCTGCCCACCACACGTGTGGCACCCAAGCCCCTGTCCACACTCTCATCAGTTTGGTTTTGCTTTTTTCAAAATTAAAATGTAAGGATCCATCCTTCCGTAATAAGACGCATGTGGTTGGTTTTTAAGATTTCCAGTTTTTGCTGGGCAGTGGTGACAACTAAGGAAACAGAGGCGGGTGGCTCTCTATGAGTTCAAGGCCAGCCTGGCCTACAGAGTGAGTTCCAGGACAGGCTCCAAAGCTACAGAGAAACCCTCTTGAAAAACCTAAAAAATAAATAAAAAATGAAGATTTTCAGTTTTTATTTTGTGTATGTGTTTTATTTTGTGTACCTGTGACGTCAGGTGTTCCAGAGTTCAGAAGAGAGCACCGGACCCCTGGAGATAGTGCAGGGGGTTATGAGCCTCCTTGGATGCTGTGAAGTAAGCCTAGGTCCTCTGGGAGAGAGGTACTTCCTCCTAAGCAGTCATCCCTCCAGGCCCTGCAGTTCTCCACGAGGAATTAATGTCGCTTTCCTTAGAAGCTTTTTCTTTGTCCTATTGAAAGGAGGTTTCATGTAGCCTACGCTAGTCCTGAGTCATTACATAGCAGAGGAGTTTTTTTTTGTTTTGTTTTGTTTTGTTTTTTGGTTTTCGGAGACAGGGTTTCTCTGTGGCTTTGGAGCCTGTCCTGGAACTAGCTCTGTAGACCAGGCTGGTCTCGAACTCACAGAGATCCACCTGCCTCTGCCTCCCAAGTGCTGGGATTAAAGGCGTGCGCCACCACCGCCCGGCTGCAGAGGATGTTTTTGAACTTCTGATCAAATAGTCTTTGTTTTTCAAAACAGGGTTTCTCTGTGTAGCAGTCATAGCTGTTCTGGACTCACTTTTAGACCAGGCTGACCTCGAATTCACAGAGAGCCGCCTGCCTCTGTCTCCCAAGTGCTGGGATTAAAGGCATGCACCACCAGCATCCGCCTCAAATAGACGTTTTTTAAAGACTAATATATTGTATGGAACGTGGTACATGAGGCTCATGTACTCATACATCAGCTTTGAAGCTTGCTAACTGAGAATTTAGGTAAATCACTACTTTTGTAACTGCTTTTTGACTCAGTTTCCTCATCAGAGAAAAAGATAATAGAATTTACTTCATAGTGTTCAGAAGCCTTACATGACTTCCTCTATGTGATAAGGTGTGAACCAGAGAGTAAAGGGCTTAAAAGACTGATCAGCCATCCACAGGGATATGAACCAAGACACACGCCCATTAATACAGGATGTGAACCTTTAGGGGGGAATTCTGATTGAAATAGGACAGTTGGTGGCCTTTAATCCCAGCACTTGGGAGTCAGAGATGGGCAGATTTCTGTGAGAGCCTGGTCTACAAGTGCTAGTTCCAAGACAGGCTGCAAAACTACAGAGAAACCCTGTGTCAAAAAAAAAAAAAAAAAAATTTCAATTGATAATATCAAGAATTCAAATTTCAGCTGGTTAAAGGTGACACATGCCTTTAATTCCAGCACTCAGGAGGCCTAGGTAGATGGATCTCTGTGAGACCAGCCTGGGCTACAAAGTAAGTTCTAAGATAGCCAGAACCATTGCACACAGAAACTCTGTCTCTTTTTGATTCTCACTGCATAGCTTTGAACTCACAGGTATCTACCTATCCCTGACTCCCAAACGCAGTCAGTAGAGAGACGTGTACCATTGCACGCTGCTTACTGGCAGGATTTCTTACACTTGAGATGTGTTAAGGGAGCCAGTCTTGGTAGCACATACTGGTAATGTCAGGCAGGGCAAGAGGACTTGGGGTTTAAGATGAACCTCAGGTAGGTAGGTAGTAAACTCAGGACCAGCATATGTCAAAAAAACAAAACAAAAAAACTAGATAAATAATTTTGTGTGGGGCTGGAGTGATGGCTCCACAGTTAGGAGCACATGCTTTTCCAGAGGACCTAAGCTCCCTTCCCATTACCCAGGCTGGCCAACTCAGAACCACACGTTAGTGTAGCTCCAGGGCATCTGACACCTCTGCCCCCTGTGGACCCCAGTACTCACACACAAACACTGGCATACATATAATCTAAAATAAAATAGGTCTTAAAAATAAATAATGGGTTAATGGAATTCCATTATCTTTAAAGAATTTTTTAAAATGTGTATTAGAGTACTTAAGCATGAAATACTTGAAATTTTTTTTTTTTCTTTTTGGTTTTTCGAGACAGGGTTTCTCTGTGGTTTTGGAGCCTGTCCTGGAACTAGCTCTTGTAGACCAGGCTGGTCTCGAACTCACAGAGATCCGCCTGCCTCTGCCTCCCGCCCGGCAATGAAATACTTGAAATTTGTCTGAAAATAATTTTGATAAAGGAGGAAAGTATATAACACATTGGCCAAATATTGCTTACTGAATTTAAAAATAGCCGTGGCAGTGCTAGCGCACGCCTTTAATCCCACCACCAGGGACGCAGAGACGGGTGGATCTCCATGAGTTCAAGGCTAGTCTGAGCTACTTAGTGAGTTCCAGGACAGCCAAAGTTACAGAGAAATCCTGTCTTGAAAAACAAAACCTAAGTGCTAGAAAGATGGTTCAGTGGTTAAGAGCACTGACTGCTCTTCTGGAGGACCTGGGTTCAATTCCCAGCACCTACGTAGCAGCTCACAACTATCTATAATTTCAGTTCCAGGGGACCCGACACCCATAGCAAAATCCCAATGCACATAAAATATATTTAAAATAAAAAAAACAATATAAATACATTATCCTCGAGCTGGAGAGATGGTTAAGAGTAAATAATTGTTCTTGCAGAAGACCCAAATTGGGTTCCAAGCACCCAAGTCCAGCCTCTCAAACCACCTATAACTCTAGCTCCAGGAGATCTGGACTTTCTCTTCTGCATGTTGAAGGCGCACACAATCACACATGTACTTATCCCCCTGCACATTAACAAGATTAAAAGTAAAGTGGGGTGGTGGTGGTGTCGCACGTCTTTAATCCCAGCACTCAGAAAGCAGAAGAAGCAGGCAGATCTCTGTGAGTTCAAGGCCAGCCTGGTCTGCAGAACGAATTCCAGGACAGCCAGATCTACCAAAAGACCCTGTCTCGAAAAACCAAAAATAAATTAAAAAATAAAGTTAGGTCTGTCGAGATGGCTAAGCCGTTATTTGCTGCTCTTGTCCAGCACTGACATCCAGGGACTCAACTGCCTGTAACTCCTGGTTCCAGGGGACCTAATTCCCTCTTCTGACTTTTTCTGGCTCCTGTATGCATGTAATGTGAATATACACATATATACATAAATAAATATTAATAAAACTAAGAATTCAGTCTCTCTACTTTTGTGTTTGAAATTATACAACAGAGCTTTAAAAACTACCGTGAAAGAAATACTAAAGATGAGTTGTCAGGTTTTGTGTATATACTGTTGTCCAATATCTGCACCTTTCATTTACACAACGTCTTTTAATAAAATCCAGAAAGCAGATTTTCTCCCATTTTACAAAGGTATCACCTCCTCTCTTAAGCTCCCTCTAGGAACCCTTGGTCAACCACAAGGGGTAGGCTGCAGCCACTAGACTCTGGGTTCCTGCTTCCTTTAGTGACTGCCATCCGGGGCGTGACGTACAACCAACATACAAATGATTCATCTGTATGTTCATCAGACAAAATTTGAGCTCCTATTTGCACATTAGAAAGCAGGGCGCGGGGGGGGGGGGGGGGGGACAAAAAGCCTGGCACTTAAGACCCTGGAAAAAGAAAGCAAGTGATTAAGTAATAAAAGTTCTCTGCGTAGTTCATATCTCCTTGACCTTTTTTTTTCCCCTTTTCAGTTTAAATACTCATTTTATTTCCTGGCTAATTCCTTAAACTATGTGGAGTGTGGAGAAGCTAGGCTCCTAGCCGGGACGTGAGCGAGCGGGTGGAGCGGGGTCGGAGGCGGGAGCCGCACGGTCAGGGAGGCCCAGCCACGCGTCTAGTCCACCTTAAGAGGCGCCAGCCAGCTCTCGGCTCCGCCCACCCCGGTGTCAGCCCGGCCCGGAACGCGGAGGAGAGGAGGGAGGAGAGCGGCGGCGAATGGAAAGATCCGCGCCCCCGGCTGCGGGCCGCTCGTCCCGGGCTGGGCGCGGAGCAGGCTCGGGGATGCGCCCGCGAACCCCTGCGATCGGGCTGGGACGGGGACCGCGGGGCCATCCCGGGTGGGCGCCAGGGAACCGAACTGGATCCGAGACGGACCTGGAGGCTGGCAGGACAGACGGACTGGAGAAAGTTGTCAACTTTCTTGGTCCCAGACGCACCGCGTCAAGGAATTTCCAAAAGAGGGGCAAAAGATCCGTGCCTCGCCTTCGTTCCGATTGGCGAGGTTGAGAATGGGCTGGGCCCCGGGTGCTGGAGGATTGGCCGTGTGGGTAGTCCATCAGAGGATGACGCAGTGAAGGGTGGCCATTTGGGGAGGAAGTGAAGATTATTTTGGTACCGCCTTCCCCAGCTACTGATTGGTAGATGTTGGCCGTGATGTAAAAAAGGGCATAAAAATGTCTACTTAAGGTACGGGCCTATTGGCCCGGCTCTCGGGGAAGCATTCTAGGGTGGACGGACGAGCCAGCCGGCACTGTTTTTGTAGGGAAGGACCAAATGGTTTGACACCCGGAAATGAGTTCGGAAGGGAACTCAGGGAAAGCGAGGGAAACCCGCGCACCTACTTTGCCCTCCCACAAGGTCATTTCCTGCAAGGGATCGATAGTTTCCTGTTTACTCCGGAGGGAAAGTGCACGCTGGCTTCCTGGAATATACTCGATATTCAGACTCAACTTTTGAGCCCAGACTTTACTTTTCTCTAAAAGGAATGAGAATGAAGTGGAGAAAGAGAAAAACATTAGATTTATCTCTATATGTAGAAAAAGGACGAAAATCGAGTGGGGCTGGATCTAGAAGACCTTAGATGGATCCCCAACAAAACTAGGCGTGGTAGCGCACACCTGTGATCCTAGCGCTTGGATAGATGGAAGCGGAAGCAGGATGGTCAGAAATTCAAAGTCATTCTCGACTACCCAGAGAATGGGAAGCAAGCCTGAACTAAATTTGGCACCGAGTTAGTGATGGATGAAAGTGGAAACAACCTAGCGAAATGACTCACGCCGTTAGTCCTGGCGCTTGGGAGACAGGCGGCGAATCTATGAGACTAGCCTGGTCCACATAGCGAGTTCCAGGACTGCCAAAGCCACAAAGTTAGACAAATAACAGCAACAAAAAAAATTGGTCTGAAAAACAAAAGTTACTCCGAA